CCCAGCGACCACCCCCGGCCCCCGTGGCCACCCCCGGCCCCCCGTGGCCACCCACGGCGGCAGCATCTGGGTCAGCAGCTTGTCGGTCTTCTGCTTCTCGATCTCGAGCTCCTCGGTGCGCTCGCGGATCAGGTCCTCCAGGTTGCTGCTGTACTGCTCCAGCATGCGCAGCATCGAGTCGATGATGTTGGTCTTGCGGCCCTTGTTGATGCCCTTGAACTGCCCCCCCCAAAAAAATTGTGTGGGTCAGAAACCCGTGGGAAACCCATGGAGACCCCATGGAACCCCATAGAATTCCATGGAATCCCCATAGAACCTCATGGAACCCCATGGAACCCTGTAGAACCTCATGAAACCCCATGGAGACCCCATGGAACATCATGGAATCTCATAGAACCCCATGGAATCTCATGGAATCCCATGGAACCTCATGGAACCCCGTAGAACCTCATGGAACCCCATGAAGACCCCATAGATTCCAATAGAACCTCATGGAAACCCATGGAGACCCCCATGGAATCTCATAGAACCCCACAGAACTCCATAGAACCTCATGGAACTCCATGGAAACCCATGGAGACCCCATAGAATTCCATGGAATCTCATGGAATCCCCTGGAAACCCCATAGGACCTCATGGAAACCCCATAGAACCTCATGGAACCCCAGGGAGCCCCACGGGGTCGATGATGTTGGTCTTGCGGCCCTTGTTGATGCCCTTGAACTGCCCCCCCCAAAAAAATTGTGTGGGTCAGAAACCCGTGGGAAACCCATGGAGACCCCATGGAACCCCATAGAATTCCATGGAATCCCCATAGAACCTCATGGAACCCCATGGAACCCTGTAGAACCTCATGAAACCCCATGGAGACCCCATGGAACATCATGGAATCTCATAGAACCCCATGGAATCTCATGGAATCCCATGGAACCTCATGGAACCCCGTAGAACCTCATGGAACCCCATGAAGACCCCATAGATTCCAATAGAACCTCATGGAAACCCATGGAGACCCCCATGGAATCTCATAGAACCCCACAGAACTCCATAGAACCTCATGGAACTCCATGGAAACCCATGGAGACCCCATAGAACCCCACAGAACCTCATGGAACTCCATGGAAACCCATGGAGACCCCATAGAATTCCATGGAATCTCATGGAATCCCCTGGAAACCCCATAGGACCTCATGGAAACCCCATAGAACCTCATGGAACCCCAGGGAGCCCCACGGGGTCGATGATGTTGGTCTTGCGGCCCTTGTTGATGCCCTTGAACTGCGCCCAAAAAAATTGTGTGGGTCAGAAACCCGTGGGAAACCCATGGAGACCCCATGGAACCCCATAGAATTCCATGGAATCCCCATAGAACCTCATGGAACCCCATGGAACCCTGTAGAACCTCATGAAACCCCATGGAGACCCCATGGAACATCATGGAATCTCATAGAACCCCATGGAATCTCATGGAATCCCATGGAACCTCATGGAACCCCGTAGAACCTCATGGAACCCCATGAAGACCCCATAGATTCCAATAGAACCTCATGGAAACCCATGGAGACCCCCATGGAATCTCATAGAACCCCACAGAACTCCATAGAACCTCATGGAACTCCATGGAAACCCATGGAGACCCCATAGAACCCCACAGAACCTCATGGAACTCCATGGAAACCCATGGAGACCCCATAGAACCCCACAGAACCTCATGGAACTCCATGGAAACCCATGGAGACCCCATAGAATTCCATGGAATCTCATGGAATCCCCTGGAAACCCCATAGGACCTCATGGAAACCCCATAGAACCTCATGGAACCCCAGGGAGCCCCACGGGGTCGATGATGTTGGTCTTGCGGCCCTTGTTGATGCCCTTGAACTGCGCCCAAAAAAATTGTGTGGGTCAGAAACCCGTGGGAAACCCATGGAGACCCCATGGAGACCCCATAGAATCCCTTGGAAACTCCATGGAACCCCGTAGAGCCTCATGGAATCCCATGGATCATCATGGAACTTCACAGGGACCCCACAGAACCACACAGAGACCCATACTGGTCCCACCAGTCCCATACTGGTCCCACCAGTCCCGTACTGGTCTCACCTGGTCGAAGACCTGGTCGATGGTGGGTCTCTTCTCGGGCTGCTCGCTCCAGCACTCCTTCATCAGGTGGATGCACTCCAGCGGTGCCTGGTCGGCCGACACCGCGGGGCGGCACAGGGGCGGCGGCCGCTGCACCTTCTCGATGATCTCTGCGGGGACACCGGGTCAGCAGGGCTCAGTTTGGGCTCAGTTTGGGCAATTTGGGGTCAGGTGGTGTCACTCGGGGTCACTCAGGGTCAGTTGGGTCAGTTTGGGGTCATTTGGGGTCAGTGTGGGGTCATTTGGGGTAATTTAGGGTCTTTTGGGGTCAGTTTTGGGTAATTTGGGGTCAGTTTGGGGTAATTTAGGGTCATTTGGGGTAATTTGGGGTAATTTAGGGCCATTTGGGGTCAGTGTGGGGTCATTTGGGGTCATTTGGGGTAATTTAGGGTCATTTGGGGTCAGTTTGGGGTCATTTGGGGTGAGTTTGGGGTAATTTAGGGTCATTTGGGGTCAGTTTGGGGTAATTTAGGGTCATTTGGGGTCAGTTTGGGGTAATTTAGGGTCATTTGGGGTCAGTTTTGGGTAATTTAGGGTCATTTGGGGTCAGTTTTGGGTAATTTGGGGTCAGTTTGGGGTCATTTGGGGTCATTTGGGGTCACTCAGGGTCATTTGAGGTCACTTGGGGTCAGTTTTCGGGTCTCACCTTTGGGGTGCAGCCCCAGCATGCAGTGGGGGGCTCGGGGGGTTTTTTGGGGTGAGGAACTCATTTTTGGGGTCAGTTTTGGGGTCTTACCCTTGGGGGGCAGCCCCAGCATGCAGAGGGGGTTCCAGGGGTTTTTTGGGGTGAGGAACTCATTTTTGGGGTCGGTTTTGGGGTCTCACCCTCGGGGCGCAGCCCCAGCATGCAGTGGGGGGCTCGGGGGTTTTTTTGGGGTGAGGAACTCATTTTTGGGGTCACTTCTAGGGTCGCACCTTTGGGGAGCAGCCCCAGCATGCAGCAGGGGCTCAGTGGGGGGTTCCGGGGGTTTTTTGGGGTGAGGAGCTCGTTTTTGGGGTTGGTTTTGGGGTCTCACCTTCAGGGCGCAGCCCCAGCATGCAGTGGGGGGCTCGGGGGGTTTTTTGGGGTGAGGAACTCATTTTCGGGGTCGGTTTTGGGGTCTCACCCTCGGGGGGCAGCCCCAGCATGCAGTAGGGGGGACTCGGGAGTTTTTTGGGGTGAGGAACTAATTTTCGAGGTCGGTTTTGGGGTTTTACTTTCGGGGGGCACCAGGATGCAATAGGAGGGTGCTTGAGGGGGTGGCCACGCCCCGCTTGAAGCCACGCCCACACGGGGGTGTAACTACAGGTCCACGCCCCCTTTGATACAAGCCACACCCCCTTTCCCGTGGAAACCATCTAGGGGAGGGTGGAGGCAATGAATGGATAGGCCACGCCCTCACGAGGCCACACCCTCCCCAAGGAGACCCCACCTTAATTGGGTGGGGTTGGTTGTGGCCACGCCCCCAATGTAAGCCCCGCCTCTCAATGCCCCAACCACATCCATAGGCCACGCCCCTAACCCAAAGGCCACGCCCCTAAAGCAGAAGCCATGTGCCTTTCCACAGGCCACACCCTTCCAGAGGGCCACGCCCCTTCCCTCCAGGGCTCCACCCCCTTTTAAAAATCCTGCCTTATTGGCCAAGCCCAGAGCCACGCCCACCCAAGGCCACACCCCTACAGCATCCCCATTGCTTATCACAAGGCCACGCCCAGAAGGCCACACCCCTGAGATCACACCCACGAGGCCACGCCCATGGGGCCACGCCCACAATGCCACACCCATGAAGCCCCAAGCCACGCCCACCCTAAGCCACACCCCCCACAGGGTAACCATGGATTCTTCCAAGGCCACGCCCACAAGGCCACACCCCTGAGATCACACCCACGAGGCCACACCCATGAAGCCACACCCACGAGGCCCCGCCCTGGCCCCGCCCTCACCGTGGGGCTGCGGGGGCGGGGCCGGCACGCGCTGCGCCTCCAGCAGTTGGTTGTAGCCGTGGTCGGTGACCTTGAGCACGAAGCGCCCGTCCACCACGCAGTTCCGCGACTTGAGCCGCCCGTGCACCACGTCGCGGTGGTGCAGGTACCGCACGCCCTGCCGGCACCGCGCCGCCGTCAGCCGCGGCACGGCCGGCCCTCAGTGAGACGGTCAACCACGGCACCGTCAACAATGGCCGGGTCAACCATGTCATGGTCAACAATCAACGTCATGGTCAACCATTGCCATGGTGACAAGGCCATGGTCAACAATGGCACGGTCAACCACGGCATGGTCAACAACCAAAGGCACGGCCAACCATCAATGTCATGGTCAACCATCACCATGGTCAACCACGGCACGGTCAACCATGTCATGGTCAACAATGTCATGGTCAACAATCAAAGGCACGGTCAACCGTCAATGTCATGGTCAACCATCAATGTCATGGTCAGCAATGGCACGGTCAACAATCAACGTCATGGTCAACCATCGCCATGGTGATCATGGCCATGGTCAACAATGGCAGGTCAACAAGGCCATGGTCAACTATCGGTGTCATGGTTGACAATGCCATGGTCAACAATGGCACGGTCAACAATCAATGGTCATGGTCAACAAAAAGCAGCATGGTCAACAATGGTAGGGTCAACAATCAACGGCACGGTCAACAAGGCCATGGACAACAATGACATGGTCAACAGTCAATGGCATGGTCAACAATGGCCAGGTCAGCAAGGCCAGGGTCAACAATGGCCTGGTCAACAATGGTGGGGTCAACCATCAATGTCACGGTCAACAATGGCGGGGTCAACAATCAATGGCATGGTCACAGTCAACAATGGCGGGGCCAACAATGGCAGGGTCAACAATGGCGGGGTCAACAATGGCGGGGTCAACAATGGCGGGGTCAACAATGGTGGGGTCGACAATCAATGTTACGGTCAACAACGGCATGGTCAACAAGGCCATGGTCAACGTTGGCAGGGTCAACAATCAACAGCATGGTCAATAACGTCATGATCAACAAGGCCATGGTCAACAATGCCACGGTCAACAAGACCATGGTCAACAACAGCCGGGTCAACATTGGTGGGGTCAACAATCAATGGCGTGGTCAACAATGGCGGGGGCAACAATCAATGTCACGGTCCACAATGGCATGGTCAACAAGGCCATGGTCAACCATCGATGTCATGGTCAACCATTGCCGTGGTCAGCAGCGGCACGGCCAACCATCCATGTCATGGTCAATTATGCATGTCACGGCAAACAAGGTCATGGTCAGCCACGCCATGGTCAACAATCAATGTCATGGTCACCAACGGCACGGTCAACAATGGCATGGTCAACAATCAATGGCATGGTCAACAACGGCATGGTCAACAATCAATGGCATGGTCAACAACGGCATGGTCAAGAAGGCCATGATCAACTATGTCATGGTCAACAATCAACATCATGGTCGACCATCGCAATGGTCAACAAGGCTATGGCCAACAATGTCATGGTCAACAATCAATGGCATGG